AGTCATTTGGTCCTTCTGCATTGTTTTCCTTGCCCCATTTCCCCAAGCAGAAACACTGGGCTCCAACCACCACAGACCATTTCTCCTCTAAAACAGGAAGAATGCCCCATAAGGGTAGGGACCTGGGCTGTCTTCCTTTTGGTTGATCTCCAAAATCTAACATAGTGCCTCACACAAAGTATGTACTCAATAAATGACTGCATAAATGGATGAATGAAAGAAAGGAAGGAAGGACAGAAAAAACAAATTAGCACTCATTACCTATCTGGTTTTAATTTTAAATGAACATACAGTACAATTGACTTTTTTTGTATGTTTAGTTCTATGATTTTTAACACATGTATAGATTCATGACACAGAACAGCTCCAGCAACCTCCAAAATTCCCTGTGCTATCCTTTTGCAGTTTATCCTCCCCCATCCTTACTACCTGGCAACCATTGACCTATTCTTTATCCCTATAAGTGCTGTCCTTTGGAGAATGTCATATAAAGAATCAAACAGTATGTAACCTCTTAACACTGGCTTCTTGCACGCAGCATGATGCCTTCAAGTTTCATGAAAACATTTTGGTATGTCAATAGTTCATTCTTTTTTATTTGGATACTTAACTTTTTAATTTTTAAAATTATTATAGATCTACAGGAAGTTACAAAAAAGAAGTACCGAGAGGTACCCTTCATAAAGTTTCTCCAAGTGGCAAAATCTTACATAATTATTATTTAATATCAAAACTAAAAATTTAACATTGGCACTAGTAACAGACCTTAGTCAAATTTTACCAGTTCTCCATGTACTCGTTTGTGTGTGTGTGTGCATAAGTGTATATAGTTCTATGCAATTTTATCACATGTACATGTCACCTCCACCAGAAAGAGATTCGGAATATTCCATCGCTACAAAGATCTCCCTTGTACTACCTTGTTACAGTATCCCCCTCACCAAACCAGCTCCATAATTTTGTTATTTCAAGAATGTTATATAAATGGAATCATACAGTATACAACTTTTTGAGATTGGCTTTTTCACTCAGCATACTGCCCTTAAGATCCATCCAAGTTGTGTGCATTAAGTTTGTTCCTTTTTATTGCATAGTAGCATTCCATACTATGGATATAGCACAATTTAACCACTCAGCCATTGAAAGACATCTGGGTTGCTTCCAGTTTTGGGCTGTCACACATAAAGCTACTATGAACATTCATGTACAAGTTTTTGTGTGAACACGGTTTTCATTTCTCTGGGATAAATGGCCAAGAGTGCAGTTGCTGGGTCATATGGTTGTTGCATGTTTAGTTTTATAAGAAACTGCCAAACTGTTTTCCAGAGTGGCTGTCATTTTGCATTCCCACCAGCAAAGTATGAGTGATCTACTTTCTCACCAGTCCTGTCAGCATTTGATAGTGTCACTACTTTTTATTTTGAGCATTCTGATAGGTGTGTAGGGATCTCTTGTTGTGGTCTCAGTCTGCATTTTTCTAATGGCAAATGATGTTGAACATCTTTTCATGTGCTGATTTGCTGTTTGTACCATCTCTTTAAGCCTTTTGATAATTGGATTTTTTTTACTGTTGAGTTTGGAGAGTTCTTTATATATTCTAGATACAAATCTGTAGTTTGATATATGATTTGCAAATATTTTATCTCAGTATGTAACTTGTCTTTTTATTCCCGTAACTCTTGTAAAGCAAAAGTAAATTTTGGGGGTCATGCTTTTGGTATTTTAAACCCTTAACCTCAAAATCTCTGGCTGATTCTTCATCCCTTAGTTCAAGCCCCCTCCACATCTTAGGAGTCACCCAGCCTAACCTCAAGATGTCTCTCAAATCTGTCTTCTCCTTTCTGTTCCACTGTCTACACAGTAGTTGTATATCTCATCACTGAGGTTACTGCAACCGCCTCTTAACTGGTGTTCCCACCTCTGGAGCTGTTCCCCACCCAATTTCATAGCTGTGACCACATGCCTCCCCTGCTTCCAAAAACCTCCACAAAACTTTAGCAGTTTCCAACTACCTATGAGTGAAGTCCAACACCTTAGTTTAACTGTGCCTTACCCACACTTTCCTATCTCCATGTGGGCCTTTGCTTATGTTGTTGCCTCTGCTGAGGAAAACCTACAGGGGATCCTGGTGCTGAAGCTAGGGTCTTTCCATCTGTGAGTATAGCCAGAGAGTGATGAATGAGTAGATGCATGGATAAACAAAATTCCATGTCCAAGTGTTCTAGCAACACATGTTTACAGAAAGGAAAGGTGGGTGCTGTATTTTCTGCTGCTCTGTCTCACTCTCCAGTTACATTTGGAGGCAATTAAGAAAAGTAACAGAAATAATTTCCACCAAAAGTTGATGATGAGCAATATTGAGTTTGGTTAACAATACAAATGCAAGCTTAAATAATACCCATTGTTTTCCCCTCACATCTAGCTTTTCCAGCAGTGGGTGGCAGCCTGAGAAAATTCTAAAGGCCAGCATGTCTGGGGCCTGGAGAGACACAGTGTATAGATCAGAGGGGGTAAACTCAAATGCCTAGAGGCCAATAATGTACTATATGTGAGTAAAGCAGATTGAGGGCAAGATATATGAAGCCCTCTTGATCTGTTTTTTCTTTTTCCTACTTTGCATCATGACATGAGTATAAGAAATAGTTCCCCTTTTTCTTAACTCTATTACAAAAGAAAAAGAAAAACAAAACAGTACAAGTGAGATGATAAATGGAAACTCACACTTGGCCTAGAGTAAGAGATGCAAAAGGGAGTGGTGGGGTCTGTGGTAAATGGGAAGGTACATGCTCACAAAGGGGGCAGTTGCTACTTAGCTCTAGCCATTCATGACTGCAGGAATGTGGGCCCAGATCTTTCCACTTTCCAAGAGATGTCAGAAATTCACATTTTAATGTAGGGTTGCCACGCTGTTAAATGTGGACAACTGGTTCAAATTTTAAAAGAATTTTGTGTGGGACATCAGTATGTAAGGTGAAACAAAACAATTTTGGGGGCAAGATGTGGCTCGTGGGCCCCCAGTTCGTGATCTCTGGGAAAGTTCTGACTTACATCTATGGCACCCCATTTCACTCTCAAATATCCTGGTTTGGATAATAAATTATATCATTACCTCATCTCTGATGTTTAAGAAGGAGGACTGAATCGGGACTTAGGAGGCCTGAGTTCTACTGATTGATCAACTGACTAGCCCATTTGTTCATTCATTTATTCAATAAACTTTTATGGAGCAGAATCTTTGCTAGGTACTAGGTGCTGGCGAACACTCTCTTTAATCTTTAATAGATTTAGTCTCTTAATTTCTTTAATAGACTTTATTTTTAGAGCAGTTTTAGGCTTACAGAAAAACTGGGCAGAATATTACAGAGAACTCTTGTATCCCTCCCCTGGAAGGCAGTTTCTCCTATTATTAACATTCTGCATTAGTGTGGTACATTTGTTACAGTTGATGAATGAATACTGATATTTTATTATTAAGTGAAGTCCATAGTTTACATTAGGATTAACTCTTACTGTTGTACAATTCTATGAGTTTTGACAAGTGTATAATGTTATGTATTCACCATTACAGTATCATACAGAATAGTTTTACTGCCATAAAAGCCTGTGCTCCATCTATTTATCTGTGTCTTTTCCTTCTCCCAAAGTCCTGGCAATCACTGATCTTTTTACTGTCTCTCTAATTCTGCATTTTCCAGGATGTCATATGGTTGGAGTCTTTTCACACTGGCTTCCTTCACTTAGCAATACTCATTTAAGTTTCCTCCACATCTTTTTGTAGCTTGATAGCTCATTTCTTTTTAGCTCTGAAAAATATTCCATTGTCTGGATGTACCAGTTTGTTTAGCCATTTACCTAGAGAGAGAGACATTGATGTGAGAGAGACACATCTATTGG